GATAGAGAGTTCAATTTACATTAGTAGTCAATACTCACTTGGTACCAAAATTAGTGTCCTTTTTTATCTTCTAGATGTTTGAAAATAAGTTCTTCATTTTCAAAAGTCAATATTAAAAATATTAATCTTTCCATTTTCTATGGGAAGTTACATGAGATGTAATTTGCTTTTTATAAAAATGTGATGGGATGAATTAATGGAATTTCATAATTAATGTGCAGGATGAGGTTTTTTTTTTTATTTTTTATTTTTTATTTTTATTTTTATATGATAATGTGAGGAAGCAATGAAATTACATTCTTAGCTGTTGGGTGAGGTTAAAAATATTACTCCGTAAATGATAGCTTAGAATAATGGCATTAAAAAATTCTAAAATTGTCATAAAACCCTGAAAGTCTCTATGGGTATCTCTAAACAACTAAACCTGTATCTATCGATTAAAAATAGGGTAAAGTGCAAAAAACTCCTTTCAACTATTGGTCATTTTACAAAAAAACCCCCATTATCTATTAATTTAACATATAAGCCCCTTGAACTAACCAATTTGGTGCAATTAACCCCGTCCGGTGATAAACCGGTTGAATTTGGCCGTGAAGACGCACATGATAGGTCACGTGACAACCCAAATTTCTTTAAATGACCATACAACCCTTTACCTTTGTAGACGCCTAAAATTTGTGATGGTCTAATCACCGTCGGATTAGTCAAGAAGTCAAATATTCCTTAATTAATTAAATTTCACAAATACGAGTCCCATCAATGGACACGTGTTAAAATCTTAAAGGTTCAAACCTTTAAAGAAAAGTGAGGTAAAATTCAAATTAATTCAAATTTGAATTTGAATTGATTTCCATAAAAAAGGAAACAAATCCCTTATTTATGGAAGAATAGCACAATATTGGGGAGTTTCGAAATTAAACGACCCACCCTTGGCCTATAAATACAAGGCCACCTTACAAGAGAAATGACACCTACAGAGACACCGACAGACACAGAGAAAGAGACAAACAGAACCGAAGCTCTGACTCAACAAAAACTCTGAAGTTTCTGAAGAAGAAGAAAAACAACAAGCGTGCCACACCTACGCCGTTCTTCATCAAAGCCCTTCAACATTCAAAGATTCTGAAGAACAATAAGCACACAAGTGCCGTTCTCCTTCAAAGACCTTCAAATCCACCATTCGAGATCAAGCCTCACCGGCCCTCATTCAGAAATCCATTTGAGTTTTCTTCAATTTTGAAGAACTCAAATACAGTTCAACCACCGGACCAAGATCAAGCTTCTAAAGCCCTGGCGCCGATATTCCAAGGAGATTTAATCATAGGAAGATTCTAGTTATAGTAGAATCAAACACAGAGGATTGTACTCATTTATTTTCTGACATTTATTTAATAAAGTTATCGTTATCGCATTTATTTTAGTTCCAAGTTTTCCGGAATCAAAATTTGTGTGTACAACCTTTACACCCAAAACCACTTAGAACACCCATACACGCCCTTATGCTAAATACACACTGTTCATCGTCAATAAAAGAGATGATACCATCACCACCGTCCGGTCCGTCCCCACAACTACACCTTCGAGGCTGAAGATGGCCGGTGAGACAGATCCGACTATGAGGATGGAAATGACCGGCGAGATAGATCTGGGTCTTGGACTTGGACTTGCAGCACGGCAAGCTTGTGGATGTTGATGGTAGTGAAAAGCCGGTGAGAACAGATCCGGCTATGGTGGATCGAGCTCGTGGCGGATCTGGTGAGACAAGAAGAGAGCTGTGAGAATAGATTTGCGGGCTGTGTGATGAGCTCTTGGTCGACGCGGATCCAGTGAAGGTCGGTCGTGTAGATGGATGACTCTTGGCCGTGAGGTGTACAAGCTTGGAGATGGAGATGGAGTGGCGACTGTTGTAGAGCCGATCCGGTGGCAGCGGATTTGGTTTGCCGTCTGCTAACAATTCCAATCCTTCTGTGAGCGCACTTCTGGCTCTTTGATCGGATCCTTTGGAGGAATTCTTGTGTTTATACTGTTAATCTTGTTGTCCGTTATTGCCCTTTCTCGACCTTGACGTGAGATGATTAGTCACACACTCTTCTAATCACTCATGCTCATCAGTGCATCTGTGTATTTCTTTTTCACGTGTGTTTATTCCAGTTTGTTTGTAAGAGTGAATGTCAGTGGCTCTTGTCATCTGTTTTGATTTGGATTTTGGAATGATATATTGGGAAATCTTCTGGAAAAAAGTATTTATCTCTCAATATTCATCTTGTTCATAGCAATGTGTCGCCCGCCGCCGCCGTCAACTGCAGCAAAATTAGGTTTCGCCGCTGCGTCACCGTCTCCTTTCTTCTTCTCTTCTGGCGGCAACCAGATCCTCGGCTTATTCGACATCTTGAAGTTCAATCCAGTCGCAGAGTGCCGTGGATTCACAAGGCAGGAATTATATATCTATCCATCATGTATTTTTTATACCTAACTTAATTTAAACATGAAAAAAAAAAATGTTGTGCTTTTATATAGTTTAGATTTAGATATAGAATTGTGAGGAAAACTATTAAAGAGAATTAATTTCCGCTTTTATTCAAATAGTTCATAACAACAAAGCAGTTAATTGGTTTCGTTTGGTTTCCAAACTATTCAAATTTCATAATCTCTTCTATTTTTCAATTTTAAATTGTTATAGTATTTTTAACAAGGCAATTATTATATTATTTTCAACCATACACTCACAAATTATAAATAATTTGAGACTGACGACTTGGTAGGAAAAAAATAAAAAAAAAATAAAAAAATATTGAAAAGGGAAATTATCAATAGATGAAGTTATTGACCCCATTTTATCATAGTCATAATAGTCAAAGTCTTATTAAAAAGGGTCAATTGTACTTACACCTTGTGAAATTTTGGTCAACATCGATTAATGACTTTTTTTACATTATTTGAGGTTTAAAAAATGTACATTGACATCCCTTCAAATCTCTGAAATCATATTAAATTACTTTTTAACTCTTTAACTTACAAACAACTTCATTTAAATTATAAAATTATAAATTTAACCTTCTAACTAAATTTAATAAACCAAAGTAACTTATTTATCTCTTCTATACATATACATATACTTCATATATAGTAATACCTATACCAGCATAATCATCACCACAAAATAAATATAAAATATAAAAAAAAGAAATAAAAATAAATTTTTTTAAATAGTTATATAGTGAATATCACCATAACCACCACTACCACACCCAAACACTATAATAAATAAATAAATAAATAAAAATAACCATGATCAATCCATACTTATACGTCCCAAACGTCAATAGAACCACCATCACCAACACACCTAGATGTTACCAGAACTACCACAATAAATAAAATAAAAATAAAAACTTTAAAACACTCTAATAACCTAGACACCAAAAAAAAAAAAAATTTTAAACAGCCATGGCTAGCCAAGGCCCACCAAAAAAAAAAAAAAAAAAAAAAAAAAGGTTAAAGATTATGGTAGAGAAAGAGTCATTCCTCGACATCTGATTAATATTGACTGAAGCCAAAAGGGAGTGTCAATGCAATTTGAATGTATTTTCCAGTTTCTTGAATGAATCTCTCTTGTTGGTCTTAAAAACAAAAAAAACCACGGAAGCAATTTACCCTATTAAAAAATAAAAAATTATGAAATCTTCTAAAAATGATATGTCCCGACATGAAAAATAAAAAAATAGGGTAAAGTACAGTCACACCCACTGATGTTTGATCGGACAGTCAGATGAAACTTACTTGTTTTTTGGACAAAGACACCCCCTGAAGTTTAAAAAATGGACAAAGACACCTCTTTACATGAGAAATTGACCAAATTACCCTTTGACTATTTAGGAGGGTTTTTTAATTCTAAAATTTAATAAATTGGACCAATCTACCCTCATGAACAATTTATGCATAAAAAAATAAGTAACCAAAAAAAAAAAAAAAAACTTTATATTGTTCACTTTTCCTTTATTTTTTTATTTATTTATAAATGTCCCAACTTCTTAAGAATGTAGACGTCTAAAATGATTTTTTAATCCAATACATATATTTCAAATAAATTATATTTTGTTAATACTTCTTTTCTTTTTCTTTTTTATTTTTAAATTAAGATGCTTAATTCTTTCATCTAAAAAAATTCAACCAATCTCTTTTTCTTAAAAATAAAAAATATAATACTAGTATAACTTCATGCATCTTAAATTATATATCAAATATTATGCATTTCCCAACATAATGTTTATAAAGTAAATAGCAAAAAAAAAAATGTTAACAATACAAAGTTTTTTTTTACTTTTTTTTTTTATGCATAAATTATTCATGAGGTAGATTGGTAATTTATTAAATTATAAAATTAAAAAATTTCCTAAATGATCCAAAAGATAATTTGGTCGATTTTTCGTATAAAGGTATTTATCCATTTTTGAACTTTCTAAAAATATCTTTGTGGACAAAATCAAATAAGTTTTCTCTTAAGGTCCTTTTACCGAACCTCAGGTGTGACTGTACTTCACCTAAAAAATAAAAAAATGTTTTGGATAATTTTTGTGTCCAAACCGCCACTACCAATCCACCCATTTTTTCTCTCCCCATTACATTTTATCGAACCAGAGCGATTTGCACTCTCTCTCTAGCAGAGCGATTTGCACTCTCTCTTTAACCAGACAGCATTCTCTCTCCATCTCTCAGTCTCTCTCTCACTAGGGCAGAAGCCGCCGGAGTCCTCGCGTTCGGCATAGGTGAACTGGGAGATTCCCATAGCCAATTGGAAGATCTCTAGTTCTGGTGAGTGATTCGTCGGAATTTTAATTTCTTCGTGAAAAACTCAAAGCGTGTTGTTACATCTCGATCTTCTGCGATTTGCTCCTCTTATTTACACATACAAACCCTAAAAAAGCTGCGAAAGATGCCAGAGCTTCCGGTGGAAGTAACCGCCGACATACTATCAAGGTTGCCGGTCAAACCCCTTCTGAGGTTCAGGTGCGTATCCAAACCATGGTGTGCTCTGATCGACAGTCCACATTTCGTCAAATCGCATCTGAATCGATCCATCGAAACCAACGCCAATCTCAGCATCGTACTTAGAAATTATGGTGATCTCTAGTTCATGGACTTCGACTCGTTCGGTCGTGCTATAAAGCTCGACCACCCCTTGGAGTTCAAACAATATGTAGAAGTAGTGGGCTCTTGCAACGGTTTGCTCTGTTTGTGTGAAACAGAGGATCAACCCATCGTGCTGTGGAACCCTTCGACCCGAAAACACCAGAAGTTACCGGTCGCACTGATCCAGGTCCCGCGTGAGTTACGGGTCGCACAACTTACATCTGACTTTTGCGTGTTTTTTACTGTTTATGGATTTGGGTTTGATTCTGTGAGTGATGACTACAAGTTGGTGAGGATTGTACAGTTTTGTGGCTTCAATGACGATTTATTTTATTCTGAAGTTAAGGTTTACAGTCTGAAATCGAATTCGTGGCGAAGGATTCAATGTTTCCCTTATTACCTTCGATACGAGCGAGTGAATGCTGCGGTTGTTGGTGGGGTTTTGCACTGGGTTGTGAGTCGAAAACCCAAATCGGAGATGGCCAATTTGATTGCTGCTTTTGATCTTGGGGTTGAGGAATATAGGTTGGTGCCACTGTCTGATTATTTGGATAGAGAATTTCATAAGACTCTGAATAATTATTTTCGTATAAATGTGAGGGTGTTAGGAGGATGCCTTTGTGTAATTTGCCATTATGCTGTAGAGGACCGAGATGATATATGGGTGATGAAAGATTATGGAGTAAAGGAATCTTGGGCTAAATTGTTATCTGTTGAGCTGCAAAATGTACTTAGGCCTTTTGATTCTGTGAGGCCTCTTGTATATTCAAAAAGTGGTGGGGAAGTACTTCTGGCCCATGATAATTTCAGGCTTCTTTGGTTTGACTTGAAAAGGAAAACGGTCAAGCATGATTGGATTCATGGTGTGCGAATTACATTTGAAGCTGAAATTTGTTTGGGAAGTCTAGTTCCGCTCCCTGGTGATGGTGGATGTGATGGAAAGAAGCAGCAAGCACAAAAGAAGAAGGATAGAAAGGGAAGGTAACCCCAAATTAATCTATTGTGCTCTTTTCGTTCTGCCTATATTATCGAACTTGGCATTATTAGCTATAGAAATTTGGACCCTTTAAATGACATATTAGTTATAGAAATTGGACACAATGGCAAGGTTGCTCCATTTTGACCTGGAAGTCATAAGTTCGAAATACAAAACAGCCTCTCCGCGTGTGGAGGTAAGGCTTTGTTCATTTGACCCTCTCCAGAGCTTGCAATGGCGGGAGTCTCGTGCACTTGGTTTGCCCTTTAATTATAGTTGTTCTCTTTAAGGATCTTAAATGACTATGATTAGTAGTTTTAAATTCACAAAACACCCCCCTCTACTATCAATCTTGGTTGATTAACCCCCTGTACTACAAAGTGATCAAATTCCTACCCGTTAGTTCTCAGTTAAATGACTAAAATGCGGTTTATGAAGCTATTCCAAAATAGAGGACACTAATACCCTTTCTGTTGTATTATATAGGTCCCTATTATATATGTATCTAAAACCCACCTACAGTCCTTTGTCTTTGCTAAGGAGAAGCAAACCCAACTCCAATGTCTTCTACAAATCACGACCAGATGGTATGTACTTATGATTTTTTTAACCCAAATCTTCAAAAGAGAAACTAAAAATAAATAAATAATAATAATAATAAAATCATGGAAGAAAGAAGTCATATGTTGTTCATTGAATTAACAAATACCACATCTATGCTTTTGGGGGTATATATATATATATATATGTATGTATGTATATATTAATATCATATTGATCTGAAATTTTATGGGCATAAGAACAGAGCATGGCTATAGAAACTAAGAGAGAGAAGCCAAAGATCAAAAGATAAAAAGAGAGAATCTTTCTTACTTAAAATACACTGATCTGATGTGATGGTTTGTTTTGAATCATATTTGTTCTCTGACTCGTTTTTGTTCATGGTATGGAAATTACATAGTGGGTCTCAATTTTTTGTTCCTCTATTTATTTTTTAGTTTATTAAGGATCTTCATATTACTCAATTTCTCTTTCCAGTTTCTCTCTCTAAAATCACCATCTCCACCAAGCCACTCAACAAGTGCACGCACTGTTGCACCATACCAAGCTTCATGCACAATAGCAAGTCATGCCATACCAAGCACACACCTACTGCATCATTCCATTAAAACACTCACCATACCAAGCCACTCAACAAGTGCACACACTTTGCACCATACTTATCTCTCGAAGTACCAGCTCACACACTGTTTCAACACTATTCCCATTCCATTTACACACTGTTTCAACACATTCTAAATTCATGCACAATCACAATTAGCTTATATAGCTTAATTCATTTCAACACATTCTAAATTCACCACAAATGACAAAAAAGTAATGCCTTGCACCATTCATACCAAATTAAAGTGTTATCCACAATACAGTCTAAGTGCTAATGCTACATATAGAGCCAAAAGCAATAAATTAGTAAACTGTCAAAGTGCTAAAGCTAAATATAGAGCCACCAAAAACCAAAACATGTTCATGACAACAGCCCTTAACACAAAAAAGTTAATTTTCCAAAAAGCAGCATCAACCATCAGTTGGATTCTTGGGTGTTGAGTTGTGTTGCTGGAAAAAGGCATTTCAACCACCTCATGCTGTGGCCTGTGGGTTTCTGAAAGCCTATTCCAATGAAATTAAACAAATAAATATATATAGTGCAATCAATTCCAAAAAGGTAAGTGATAAAGCTACAGCTAAAAGATAAAAGATTGTTTATCTTACCTGCCCTCCTCTGCCTATTCCAACACCCCTTGCAGCACCTAATATAGCCCTTGCAGTCCCTGCTGCAGCCCATGGAACAGGTGGTCCACCCCTTTCGGCCCTTGCTGCAGTCCTTGGAACAGTTGGTCTACTCCTTGCAGCACCTAGTGCAGCCCTAGATATCCCTGGTGCAGTTGCTGCCCCTGCTGCAGCCCTCGGAACAGTTGGTCCACCCCTTGCAATCCTTGCACCTCCTGCTCCACCCTTTGCAATCCTTGGTTCTATATATGGAATAACTGGCCTATCCCTTGCAGCACCTGCTCTGCCCCTTGCACCTCCTGCTCCACCCTTTGCAATCCTTGGTTCTATATATGGAATAACTGGCCTATCCCTTGCAGCACCTGCTCTACCCCTTGCACCTCTTGCAGTCCCTGCAGCATGCCCAACACTGCCACCAATAACAATGTCTCTACCCCCACCAACACCACCTATATCCCTTCTGGTAGGTGACCTTCCTCCTCTAGGTCTTGGTGGTTTGGATACTTTTTCAGTTGCTTTACAAGTACGAGTGTTGTGGCCTAATTGAAGACATTTAGTGCATCTCAGGCATGTGCTCCTGATTCTGATATGTGAAGTACCCTCATCTTGACCTCTTTTTCAATTTTTCTCTGTTCTTACCGTTTGGTTCCTAGGTGGGGGTGGAAATACAAGGGCTGTACTATTATCTTTCTTGACATGTCCATAAGCTTTGAGATATGTTTCCCTATGGTAATAAGGGTTAACAAAATTTTCTGGTTCAAGCCTCCTGAATTGAATGCATGCAATGGCATGTTTGCATGGTGTACCAGTCACATCGCAATATCTACATGAGCATGTATATTTGCAGCTTTTGCCAAGTCAACATCATCATTTACTCCTACATCATGGTACTCTCTATTTTCCACCTCAAACTTGTCATTTCAAACATGCAGCCTGCTCACATTTTCAGAATTTGCATCCAACTTCTCTTGTATTTTAGGACATAAAAGCCCTACACACTTCTCCATCATCTCTTTTCTTTATGTAACCTATTCATTAGCCACCTTCTAATTTACTCAAACATATAGCTAATGCCCTTGCCTAACTATGTAAGCATTCCAAGACTCGCACATGTTACTAACACAAACTGTTCTTGTAATTTCCTGTGAATGCTGACCTTAACCATTTCATAAGTGCACTTGTCATTCTCTTTCATTTCTTGCATGTATAGGTCAAAGTCAGCCGCAGTGTAAGATCTGGCTGCATTCCAAAAATGTGTTTCTTAGCTTCTTTCCTTTGTAATTTTGCTTGAAATTCTCATAATGTGCTTGGCACAAAATCTTAGCTCATTTCCATGATGAAGTTACTCAAATGTCTCCACTAGACTCTAAAATAGGGAAAAGAATAATTAAATAAAAGGACAGTTAGTTCAACAAAACAATTAACACAAGTCATGAAAAGATGTAAAATACCCTTTTGGCTTTTAAAAGTAAAATACCTTTTGTCGATTTGACAAAAAAGTAATACGTTGGTAGGGACCAAAAATCTCCATCAGTTCCTCCAAGAATCAAGACCTAGATTCCTTACATTCTACTTCAACATAGGGGCTATGGCAATTGGAAAGAAACCATTATTTGCATCTCTGCAAACTGTACTCAACAAGTGCCCACCACAAGGACCCTTTAGAAAACATCCATCAAGACCAATGAATGGCCTACATCCTTCATTAAATCCTTTCCTCATAGCTTCCAAGGAAAAGAACATCGTATAGAATGATGAAACCCTATCCTCATAATTCATTGTAGATGCCTTAACTTTACTGCCTGGGTTAGTTTCAAACACCAAATTACCATGATCCCTAATCCTCCCAAATTGATCTCCATGAGTCCCTCAATCATTCCTAATGCCAACCTCTTTGCCTTACATATCTTTTGATTAGGCTCATCAATATCAAGATCTTTCTCAATGCTCTCTCCAACATTTTTAGCCCTCCAAGAAGGATCAGTGCTGAATATACCAATATACTCCTTAGCAATGTATGAATATGTAGCCTGTACCATTCTGTTTCATACTATTACATTTATGTGGATGGAGGAATCTTCTGTATTCAAAGAAGCATGAATATGACAACCACAATTGGACTTGCATATGGCTGTGATTCTATCTCTATCATTCTTCTTGAATGTCAAAACAAACTTTCTCTTTATTGCCATTTCCTTTGGTGCTTATCTAAAGTCAACTGCACACCCAAATTTCATCCCGCCTTCCAATTTCTTTACACCTAGGTCTCTTTCTACAATAAAGTTTGGTATTGCATGTATCTTCATCATCACTTGAGCTTACTAAACTCAGCAACACATCACTAGGAGCATACTCAGAATGTACATCCTTATCATCCTCAAATCTTCATTTGATTCACTATCTGGTGCAAGTTGAGTAACAGTATCAGCTTCATTCATTGCCTCATCACTTTTTGCTGCATCATCAATTACCTCATCACTTTTAGTTGCATTATCAAAAGGCCTCTTTACTCTCTATGTTTTCACCAACTGCCACGTTCTCATGAACCAAAGTCTCTTCTGCAGCAGCTCCTTCAACAACTGAATCCCTAGCATGAATCAAAGTAAGTGCTGCACCAACCACTTAAAGTTTTACAATAATGAAACTTTGATAAGCTTGGAGCATTTCCACAATATCCATATCTGTTTGCAAATCTATTATCTCTCCAACCAACAAAGATCTGAAATATAGGCTACTTGAGGTACCACACCCAATCTCCTCTATTGTATCTCTAAGATCTGTCGTTGAAATCTTGTCAGGATAAAACATTGTGAAAGTTTTCAACAAAACCACCAACATAGTCCTTCTGTTCATGTTTGTTAACAAACTGCCCTCCAAAGTGGATTTCTAGTGTATATAGTTCAAAGCTAGGGTTCCAACATGAATTTAAGAATGTTTAGATTAATTAAACAATATTATAATTATAAACTAATAAAAGCCCTTAATTAATTATAGATAAACATAATTACTAACGGGCCAATGGCCTAGCGGTATCAGCCTCTTACTTCCCAAAGGGAGGTCAAGGGTTCAAGTCTCAGAAGAGACGTTTGTGTGAGTACCAACTAGGAAAAAAATATATAGATAAACATAATCGGAACCACTAGTAAAGGAAAACTAAAACTTAATGAATGAATAAACAAACAACTACAAGTATACTGAACCCAAATTTACAAGGATCCATATACATAAACCAATATGATAAACCTTAATTTCATTCATTGTAACGGCAGAAAAAGGTATACTCAGGGGTCCATACCCGAGTCCATTGTGTTGATTACAGTGTGTAAAGCTTCGAACAGAGTGAAAGCTTCCCTCTTTTGTTACAAAAATCCAACCCTTGAAGACAAACAAGTCACACACTTTGAAGCCCTTGTCTTCGTCTTTGCCTTTGTCTTCGAAGCAATCAACTAAACTAACCCTCAATCAAAGTTACGATGAAATGAAGGTGCAATGAAATCGCTTCAACATTTGTTTTGAACACTAGATCTCGAAGCTTAGAATGTTTCGAGTAGTGAGAGAAATGAAGTTACGATGTTTGAAAAGGCATAAGGTATTTATCCATATTACACGACGTCGTGTGCCTCATGGGCATATGCGTCATTTTAATTTTTATAAGTTTCTTTTTCTCTATGTTAAAGTTATTTAAATAAACAAAGGTTATTTTGGTAATTTCAATTGTTAACTAACGGACACGTCATGATTTGTCCTTATATGAAACCTTTTGGTAGTACAGGAGGTTAATTGACTTAAACATAATTAATAATGTTGCAACGGCTAAAGGTTGTATTGAGAGTTGGATGATGTCACTGGCTTGTTGGTTCTTTTGTACAGACACGAGGTGGAAGGCACTGGTGTTGATTCCCTGATTTGGGTGCCTTCTTCTCAGGGGATGTTCCAGGTCTGGTCTTTTTTTGTGTGCCTCTTTGGTTTTCATGGCGTTTCCTTCCCGTGGAAGACGGTGTGGTTGTCCAAGGCGCCTCTTAGGGTGGCCTTTTTTGTGTGGACTGCAGCTTGGAGTAAGATTTTGACTCTGGATAACTTGAGGAAGCGAAGACATATTATTGTTAATCGGTGTTGTCTTTGTAAGTTGAATGGAGAGTCAGTGGATCACTTGCTGCTGCATTGTCCCGTTGCTCATGATTGTTGGAGTCTCATTTTTGATTTGTGTGGTATTCATTGGGTCATACCTCGGACATCTCAGGAATTGCTAGATGTTTGGAGGGGCCAATGGGTGGGGGCTCAGGCGAGAGTCTTCTGGAGGGTAACCTTTTTTTGTGTTTGGTGGAGTATTTGGAAAGAGCGGAATAGAAGATCTTTTGATGGGAAGGAGTCCTCCGTTGGGGTGTTAAAATTTTTTATTATTTGTATTCTTTTTTGTTGGGGTTGGGGGAGAGATTTTTCCTCGATTGAGGATATTGTGGACTTTTTGGGTTCCTTGAGATCATAGGTTCTGTTTTTTATTTGTATAGCTTGGGACGCGTTCTCCTTTTAAACGCCTTCTAATACATTTTACTTATCGAAAAAAAAAAAAAAAAATTTTTACCTAGAGCTGAGAATTATATTGGCTTTTCTTTCTGTATATTGATGTCACCTTATACTTTCGTGTTGTATTTTGATTCTCTTAGAGATGACTTCCTGTCAATGGGGTTCAAGTTGGTGCTTTAAGCAACTGGAAGAAGAAACTAATTAGGAGTGAGAAGGTGGAAAGGTAGGTCATTAGATTTTGGAAGCATTTTTTGAATTAGTACCTTGTAGAGTTGGTATTTTTGTCTTTAAACTTGTTTACGTTGGCTAGTTCAAGTGTAATGGTATTCTTTTTTATACGAAATATACTACGCAGGTAGTTTGGAAACAGAGATGAGATTGAGCAACTATTGCTACAGAGATGGGCATCCGAGACGAAAAGAATAATTTTATACAATGTTTACTTATACAACCTAATCGATCATGTTGCTCCCCTCAAGTATCTAACATGCAAAATCTCGCTTCTCTCAGGATTGATTCTGGACCTAATCGATCATGTTGCTCCCCTCAAGTATCTAACATCAAATATTTTCCGGATTTATGAATATCGAAATATTTCATTTGATTTTCTATTGTTTGGTATGAATTTAAATTATCGTCGTATCCTTAAATCATAAGAGTTTTACATTTAATGATTTTCTCATGGTATCAGAGTACTCTTGGTTGAAGTAATCATCAATTAGGGTTGCAGGCCCTGTTTTTGATCATGAGAATAATGGAGGATGTCCCAAAAATTCCAAACATGTTGGCCTTCAATCTTAGGATTTCAGTGTCCTTAAAACTAAGCACTGCAATTATATGCTATGGAGAGACCTGCTTGGTCTCTATGTGGCCTTTCTAAAGTTAGATAAAAATAAATGATTTATTTATTTTTTGTCATTAGAAAGACAGCAAAACAAAGCTAACAAGCTGAATCAGGGGCCAACATGAATGTCCTTAAATGGATTATGAGAAACATCCTTAAATCTTTTAAAAAAATCCCTTGTTTTATTATTAAATCTTTAAAAAAAAAATCCTTTGCTTTAATAGTATTTTTAATTAAACTCATAATATGTTTTAAAATTGTATTCGAGATTTTAGAGGGGGGAAAAAATTAAAATATTTTTATATAGGCATTATGTCATCTAAACATTACCATGGATGGACTAACGATGCCTTGTAGAGCTGCATAAGCTTCTTTAGGATTATCTAGAATACATATTGGATTATTTTGATAAGTATAAATGTCTTAAATATATATATAATATATATTGGATTATTATAAAATCCCATTCTGGAATTCTTCCTAGATATGCTACAGTACAGATAGCCTAGTAAATGTCTTAAATATATATATATATATATTGATAAGTATAAATGTCTTAAATATATATACATTTTATAAAGAAACCTTCAACTTTTCATTCCATCATTTCTGCAACTTTTAATTCCATCATTTTTAAGTAGATTATGATTCTCAACCCAAGATAATCTCTTTAATTTTTTGCTTTAATAATGTTAAATTTTGACACATTATCTTTTAAAAACATTATGCAATCAAATACACTATACACATCTTGGTCAAATTTTATATTTTCTTCTCCAAATTTTGACAAAACTAAAATAATAATAATAATATTAATACACACAAATACAAAAGAAAGTCACAACTTTGATAAAAAAAAAATTGTGACAACAATAGTTCTGCAAAATTTATTTTTATCTTTCAAGTCCCTTCTGGGTAACTAACAATTGGCAGAAAAAATCCACTTGTTACAACATGAATAATCACTTCATTCTGTATCTACTTAAACCTAACTATAGTGCAATATGAATCTTTTACAACAGCAGTGGAGAAACACCTTCATCTAGCGGGGAAAGATGAGCCATACCGTGATCCGAAACGGATTAAAAACTATATATAACCAGCTCCGTTATGCACAAAAGCCTGGCCAAATGCAAATACTCCCGATACTTTGAATTCGTATACTCACTGTTAATATTCAGTCAATTCTGGTAAAAACATGTTTCAGTATTATGTCAATTGGCAACACTTTGTTGAACTGTGTATTGTGACATTTTGTAGTTTCTTCGAGTGGAAATGAAAAATGTAGGTTCAATTTCCTGCGTAAGAATATCCCCTGGAGCGTACTTGGTTGAACCAAGTGAAAGGAAGGCCACCACTGTGTGAGATGAGATATAAAATAAATGCCACATAGGCAGCAGTCCCCACGCATACTGCTAAACCCACCAGCAGTCCATTTACTACCGAAAGGAAAAAGTCCAGCAGAACATATCCATTGATCACCAAAACCAGAGCAGCAATGGTCCAGACAATCCTCTACATCAAAAATCAACAACGATTGAGATATTAGTAACCAGTAGTTACTTGTTTTCTATGTTTGGCAGTCAAAAATTTTAGAAGGAAGAATGAGTTGGAACGGAAAAAGAAAATGGTTGAAACTGGAAATAAGCATGAAGCAATATTCAAGCATGAAATTATAAATTGCACCAATATTTACTTCGTGTGGGTACGCGTGAGGTTCAATGGTGTGAGGAACCACTGCAGTCTTCAACTATGACGCGGCCACAAGGAAGTAAAGGCCTAAATGGAGATCTTCGCTGCCATGAAAAGGAATTCGCCATTGATACTTTAACTGACCTACTTACTCTTTTTATACTGCTTTGCTCGAGGGTAAGAATTATGGTGTAAAGGAATTCACCATTGGTCATTATACTATTAGCCACAGGTCACTTAAAAAAAGAGAGGGACATCATTTAGAAGCTGAAGGTAAGTCGATTAATGTATTCAACGAGAGGGGACATCCATTTTACAACTAAGCTCACAGGAAATCGTTGAGGTTAGTTTGGTCTCATTGATTCATTTCGAAGTTTATCGGTAGGAAAGAACTCCTCGAGGGCTTTCAGTTTATCCTCAAAGTCTATCATAGGGAGGAACTCCTCGAGGGCATTCAGTTCATCCTCAAGGTTTATTAGTAGGGTGGAACTCGTCAAGGGCCTTGAGTTCATACTTGAGCTTTATCAGCAAGAATGAACTTCATGAGATTCTCTGAGGGTGGGAGGATCTCACAACCCCACGACATCCCTTTTGAGGCTTATCTGTATGGAGGAAATCCTTATGGACATAGGGCGGCTGCAAGGCTTCTTAGTAGAGAGGAGGTCCTCAATTTATAAGGAAGTTCCCCTCTTGAGGGCTTAGGGGATCCCCACTTGCAGTTTCGTCGTATACCTTCCTTTGGAGTTGTACCTATTTCACTTATGAGGATATTAGTACTTTCAACGAAGTGCGTTCATCAAGGGTAATTCCGAGGACGTCATGGTTGCAGTAACCAGATGCGTACAGCAAGGGCAGAGAATGTTATGGTTTCCACCATGTCATCGTTGTCAATGTCATCGATGAATCTGTAGGAGCAACACTACGTGGTAGTAGTCATACTAAGGGTTAATTGACTGGTACCTACACTTTGATGCAGCATGAAATGAGAATATATATTAGAATATGGAAAATATTAGCTCCTGACATTAATATTAACCTCAGGAGTTGATAAGATGATTTAAGATGTCAAATCCCCAGAGACAGAAAAACATAGCAATGCCCTCTTACAAAGAAAAAGGCCACTAATCAACATTAGTTTTGCTAATGCAAGGAGCTGATACGAACCTAAATGGCTTTATTCACAAAAAGTAGCCACTCACAAGCTCGAAAGTAGAAACCATAATGTTATGATTGGCAATCCAAACTTTGACTACTACACCAACAAACCCTTCTCATCTCCATAATAGATCAATTTGAGAACCTGCGAAATGGAAAATGCAAAGCCAACTGTGGATCCTTGTGAGCTACATTCATCACGTGAGGTTGAAGAGCCCGACCAGTCCCTATCATCAAACGTCCTTTACCTAGGGACCTAGGTTTGAGGTGTCTGCTCAGACGAGGAGGATAATATTAAAAGATACGTGTTCAAGTCCACATGTTGTGAAGCTCTAAGCCAGTCAGTGAGCAATCCGACGCTTAATATAACTCGTCAAATAAAATCCGATGATTATAACTTGTCAAATTAAGAATTAACTCAAGTAACTTTGAGTTCCCATAACTTCTATTGTTTATCAAAGAATGGTAATTAAGAATTGATAAGAAGATATTACAGAGAAACTTTTAACTTAGATTCTGCTAATAAAAGGTGGAAGGTCACACTTAAGTAATTTCTAAGCTTTTTTGAAAGCCCAATACTCTTGGAAGCTCCAATATAACAATAAAGTAAAGAGATACCACTAAATAATATTAACATCATATACATCGGAGACCTAGTGACATGCCTGTCAAAAGAGGAAAAGTAATTGTAATAGAAGGTAATAGACAGAGAGGGCAGCCAAAAATAACATGGGATAAGGTTATTAAAAATGATTTTAAAAAGTTATATATAGTAGTTGAATTCATGAAGTAGAAAAGTTTGGCGAGAAAGAATCCATGTGGGATTAAGGCAAGGATGATGATGACTATGATAATGATCTATAGAGCAGCTACATTTGGTGTATGAGACCATGAAAATCAAATAAATTGCATAAAAACACATGAAAAGAATCATTATAGGGCAGCGAGCCCCATCATATGAAAGGTTCTGAAAAGTCGGGATATAGTGTATACTCTGTATTGGACCTACATGAATTCTGCCTCCAGCGTGAGCCAAGATGGCAACCACTAAATGCAAAACACTCTCTCATAACATAAAGGTCCTAATGGGGATATCGGATAAGGACTTAATTTAGTAGGACAATGAGGAGCAAATATAATAAGCCAGGCTGCAACTGCTTGCAGTTTAAACCATAACCTAAAATGGTTAGGAGAGATGTTCACTTAGTGAGGGTTATCCTTTCCTTTATATCAGCTTAGGAGTTCCTATCACACAAAGCAATAACTATCATGCAATGAAATGATAGACTAGTGGAATTTACACCTTACCTCCATCGTAGGTCCAATTTTGAAAACTCCCATAAGCTTCTCATTGGAGACCATAGTAAGAAGCGGGATAAGAGCAAAAGGAATCTGCATACCCTGGAGCACATTAAGCCATTCATTCAGAACATCCAACGAGCTTTCAGATTTTTGAAATACAAGGGCAACAATTATAGTTGGCACGATGGCACAACTTCGTGTGATCAATGATCTAAGCCATTTCTTCAAACGAAGATCCAGAAAACCTCCCATGACGAATTGTCCAGCATAAGTGCCAGTAATAGTGCTACTTTGCCCAGCTGCAAATAGTCCGATGCCCCAGATATAGAGAATCGGGAACAACCCTCCACCATACTTCTCTTGAAGATACTGTCCTGCATTTACTAAGCCTATACCATCTGCTTCTTTAGTGCCATAGAATCCCTTAGCAAAAATAGTCGTGACAAACAAATTTATCGTGAAGGTGAGAACAAGGGCAACGGAGGACTCAATTGTGTAGTAATTGAGAGCCTCTTGGACTTTCCCTTTCTTCTTAGGATCGATCTTCCTTGACAATACCAAAGCAGAATACAAGAATACGTTATGAGGCGTTATGACACAACCCACAACTCCCACGGCCTTCTGAATCGTTTTTGAGCCAAGTTTTGGAACCAAAAGACCTGCAAAGAGCATCCCTTTCGGTTTTACAACAAATGCAACCTATAATAATACTTGTTAACAAGGAAGGAACTGTTTGAAAGAAAAAGAGACAAGTTTCTGACCTATTAGAAGCTCCTCTCTACTAGGTTCTGTGTCAACAAACATCCAGGCAAATGATAGTGCCATAATTGAAATAAAAACAGAGAGAACAGCTTCCAGTTTCCTCACTCCATAGTTCTCAAGAAATAAAAATATAAAACTGTTCATAATAGTAAAACAAAACAATCCCAGTTAACAGACAAATTTTCAATTTTAAAATATAAAAAAATAAAATAAAAAATAAAAACTTCAAAAGCAATCAACAATGAGTGACCCAGCACTGTAGGAGAGTGGCATTTTCTCTACCTTCCAAAATGGAAGGCATCATTCAAGTCCCCATAAGGGCAAATGGGTGTGTGGGTTTCTTGACAGGGGGGAACAAATTCAACTATGAGTGAAATAAGAAACTTTAATTTGGGCATACAAGAATAGTATGAAGTTTTTATGTAAAAAGTAACAATAAAAAGATGACAAAAAAAAAAAAATCCTAGATTGAAATGAAATTTATTTACATTTACAGGTGGTTACTAGAATGATAAAAGAATGAAATTTGACAAACAAATCCGAAAAACAATATATTTGAACATGAAGAAATACATTTTACAATGCAATAATGCCAATACTATGTAATATGTAGTATTTACAATAACAAAGACTGTGTACAACTATAGACAAAAAAAAAAACGGAAAGGAGGAAAAAAAAGAATGCTTCTATATGTTATTCTAGTATCCAAAAAATTAAAATATGCCAAATGATTGAATTACCTCTACTTAAATTTAATTCAACATCTAACTTTGAAGAGTAGATATGTGGCTGTGCTATAAACACAGTAGTGATGGTACAAGCACATCTCTTAGATCTTGCGGGTCCCCCATTGGAGCCTACAGAACCAAGGACTACTCTTTGTAGGGGATTAAGCTCCCGTAAAACCACCTGGCATATCTAATGTCACCAGAGCCCACTCGAGTCAAGTTCCTCGGCAAACTAAAGGACGAGATACTCACGCATCTCGAGTGGGAAGATGTCAATCTAATGAGCCTCAGCTACCGCCGCCTTCGAAAGGATGGGTATTTAATGTAATGGTACCTATCCCTAGGTTAAAGGACTGAAATACCCCTATTGTACTCAATAGAGTCATCAAGGCTACCCTAGGAAAAGTCTCGAGGGACCTTCCCACTCGTGTAAGGGCCTGGGCCTATAAATAAAGGCCGAGGTGCACAAGCCGAGCACGGACCTTTTTTTGGATAATCACTCCATTGAATTTTGTACTCTGATATCATCCCAATTATTGTATATATATTGTTTTAATTGAAAGAACCCCCTACAATTTGGCGACTCCGCTTGGGATATCAGTATAGAACCAATGGATCTAAATAACTAGCTAGTGTAGTCTCATCACTCCAAACAGGATGAAGCTCCTAGCTACAGAGATACTGAAACGGTAACTAGCCGATATCAACCAACATACTCGGGACCACACATATCCACGTCGCAGTCCCTGCAACAAACCCAGCGAGAACTAGGAGAACGTTTGGTGCACATAGAAACTATGTTACTCTAGGAGCTCCAGGCGAAGGCGGCCAAGAGGGCCAAAGCCCAACCTAGCTCGTCTCTTTTGACTCTCCCACGGGCGCTACTGAGCCCCTGATGCCAACGACTAACGCACAGGCCAGGGTCCAAAATAGGGCACTACCACCCAATCCCCTGCTTAAGGAGGACGACCTAGTTACTGAGTCTAGATTGAGAGATTTCTTTCTAAAGAACTCACCCGGTGCGGCTCGGTCTTTGGCGCTTCGAAGTGAACCACCTTACCCACGTAGTGTCGCCCTGACTCTTTACCCTGCCGGTTACCTCATACCTAAGTTTCCCAAGTACGATGGCATAACTGGCGATCCAGAGGAGCATGTCATACGTTTTGTTGAGGCGCTCGGTGGATATAGCCATGATACTCTGCTACGATTACGAGAGTTCTCGAAATCACTCAACGAGTTAGTGTATCAGTGGTATAAAAGCCTCGAGACGGACTCTGTAACTACATGGGAGCAGCTGGTGGACAAATTTCTGGCAAAGTTTTAAGAGGCCGAAGTGCGCATTACTACACTCTCCCTGACGAAAGAAACTCAACTATCAGGAGAATCACCTCTCAAATTTGTAGCTCGTTTTCAGACTCAAGTTAAAGGATGTTTCGAGAACAGTAGTGAAAAGGATCGGGTGGACATCTACATACAAGACCTCAACAGGTACTACTGGGTAACGTGTGTAACTTGCGGCTCGATAATTTCACTTACCTCATTCTCGCGGTCAGAAATCTCGCCCGTGACCTCCCAGAGGTTCCTAAGCCAAATATCGCGCAGACATCTACTCGTAGGTCAGACCCGCAACCACCAAAGGAAGAGCGAACCAAAAAGCGTAAAGACATAGATCTAAAGGAGCACACACAGCGACGAGATGACCCACCTCCATTCCCGGTTCGCATGAATGAGGTGGCTGATACACTGAAGAAGTGGGTACAACACGGCGATGTGGTTCTACCAGTGCCTTGACAAACGCCTAAGGTCCAAGAGCGAGCTAGCCCGAACTTCTGTAAATACCATCAGACAACGTCCCATCCGACTACTGACTGCAGGATACTAAGGCGACTGTTTCAGTCTAAAATCGCCAATGGCGAGCTCGAGGTTACCAACCCGGCCGATATTAGCTAAGTTCCTCATCCTCGACATCCAGACGCTGCGGCAGGCATCGCTTGTTTTGACGAATTCGATGAATACTAGCGCCCTCCACCAGGAAATGAATTTGATGTCTCAACTGTCAAGCAGTGTGCGGTTGCTACTTCTTCTCACCCTTACCCGGTAAATTCCAAGTCGCAGGGAATTACAATAGCCTTTAACGAGGCGGACCGTAAAGCCTCATCCAATCAGAATCGCCCTCTTTATGTTACTAGCCTCCTCAACGGTGTCGAGTTCAAGTGCACTTTTCTTGACAACGGTTCATCTATCAACGTCATCTCCCTGGCTGTATTTCAAGAGTCCAACATCCCCATGACTCACCTTCTCAAAGAGCCCATCAAGATAGCAGGTTTCGGTAACGATCTCCAGCGTACTTTGGGTCATGTCACCGCAGATATTGCTGTTAGCAAATTTCGTGCATATGCTCGATTTCATGTCATTGAGGCTGAAACTTCCTATCACATTTTACTTGGCCGATCGGGGATGCATTGGTTCGGCATTGTGCCTTCCACGTATCATTAATGCTTCAAAGGCATATTAGGGAACAGAGTTGTTACTGTCCCTTGCTCCGAACGACATTTCTATAAAACTGAGGCTCACTTTATCGAGTCCCTCTTTTTCGACAAACTTGATGAAGAGGCACCAAGAGAGGCCCATATCATTTCCACGCCAATGCCCATTTGGGACTAAGCACAGAAAAACATTTTTCCTCCCCTGGGGCCTTACACAGCCCGTCCTTCCCCTAAGCGTTTGCGGCCTCGCAAGTGCAAGCGCGAGGACGGCAAATACATGTACTGTTTATGACGATGCCCGGACTCGACATGCCTCACTGAGCCGGTTGAGTCCTATAATCCCGATTCTCAGCGCCCGACGTTCGCTGACCTCGAAGAAATAAATCTAGCAACCATTGGAGGCCAGCCTCGTCTTACCTTCATTGCTGCGAACCTCAAGTCCCCCATCATGGGACAATTGATCTCCCTACTAGCAGAGTTTTCGGACGTCTTTGCGTGGACTTACAAAGAAATGCCTGGTCTCAGTCCCGCCCTAGTTGAGCACCACCTCAGCATTCGGTCAAATCACTTTCCTGTGAAACAAGAACCTCGAACCTTTCGCCTCGAACTTGAGCTTCAAATCAAGGACGAGGTCCAGAAACTACTCCAAGCCGGTTTCATACAGCCCATTCTCCACCCGATTTGGCTGGCCAACGTGGTCCCGGTGAAAAAGAAGAATGGCCAACTCCGTATTTGTGTTGACTTCAGAGACCTTAATAAGGCATGTCCCAAAGATGATTTCTCGTTACCTAACATCGACACACTTGTCGATGCAACAGTGGGACACGCCATGTTCTCTTTCATAGATGGATACAGCGGCTATAATCAGATCCGCATGGCTGCGGGTGATGCTCACAAAACAGCTTTTCAAACATCTTTTGGCAATTTTCATTATACAGTCATGCCTTTTGGACTCGAGAATGCCGGTGCCACATACCAGCGCGCCATAACTGCCATTTTTCATGATTTGTTGCATCATTCTGTCGAAGATTATGTCAATGATTTGGTTGTCAAATCTAAAGAGAAGCATACCCATATCGCAGACCTACGTCGAGTTTTTGCACGATGCCGACAATACCAGCTACAGATGAACCCGCTTAAATGTGCTTTTGGTGTTGACCACAGCAAATTTCTCGGCGTCACTGTTCACCGTCACGGAATAGACCTCGATCCTACGAAGGCACGGGCAATCCTCAATATGCTGCCACTGGCTAATACAAAGCAACTCAAAAGCTTCCTCGGCAAAGTCTCCTATTTACGACGATTCGTCCTAGCGTTGGCTGAGTTGACCTTCGTCTTCAGCAATTTGCTTCGCGGAAATCCTACTTTTCGTTGGACTACTGCCCATTAGCAAGCTTTAGATACCGTCAAGGCAATACTAGTCTACATAAACCATGCAGCGACTTATACACAGACAACCTCTTCTACTATACATTACTTCTACACCACACTTGGTGGGTGCTCTACTCGCCCAAGATCACATCGGACAAGAGAAGCCGATATACTACATCAGTCGCATAATCTATGAAACTGAATCGCAATATTCTATCATTGAGCGACACTACCTCGCCCTCGTATTTGCTGCTCAGAAATTTCGGCACTACTTCCTTGCACATCGAGTTCAACTGGTCACCCACATTGACCCCTACCGACACTTGTTGTCTCGACCTCTGATCTCCGGCAAGACCTCTCGATGGCCTCTCGCACTCTCTGAGTTCGACATCTCCTGTTGCATCCCTCGCGCAACAAAAAGTCAAGCACTCACTGATCTTTTAGCACAATTCCCTCAGGGCTCCTACGAGCCGCCCGACCTTTCACTTCCCCTTGATGACCTCCAGGTGGCCTCCATAACAACATTTTCGTGTGAATGGACTCTCGCTTT